TCAAGAGTAGTATCCGCAAGCATAATCTTCTGAGCTGCTGCTGAGTTTGTCCACCGTCGTAAGGACAAATAAACACACAAACTTGAGCCGAAAAATTCTAGTAGAATATGCCGTTAGCGTTATTCTCCAAAGGGTCTGCTACTAAAGTTTGCTCTTGTATCTCGTTAGTATTACTCCCTCACTCTTTATATCTCAAGACAGCTAAGGGAGGATAAAATGTATGCGGAAAGAATTGGAGTGAGTCGTACAGAGTGGATAGAGAGACGGAAAACTGCCTGGTTAGCGAGTTCATTGACATTCGGCCATGGAAGCTGCAGGGTCTGCAATAAGTTATGCTGTGAGTACAGGATCGGCACGCGTAACCTGATCGTGAGCGTTTCTGCTCTTGTTACTATACACGTGGTAGAACTAACTGAAGGCAAACGTATACAATGGAACCTCGGCTAACAAGTTTCATCCGTTCCGGCCCCGAGCCCGTAATGTGAAACAGTCGTCTTGCGAAATGTAGCCAATCCGACTGCATCAATTCACTGATTGGCTGCAGGCAATCGGGGACGCACGCCCTGGGAGCCAGACTCAACGGCGGACACAGGCACGCACACGCACTGACAGCTCATTAACTGAGCGGAAGCTCGTCCATTCTACTAGTGACTCGCTCCTTACCTGAAATACTTGTAGGTGGGGCTGCCCGTCGCCCGAGGCGCTACTGTACTTTCAAAATGGTTTTCTGAATTACTCGCTCACTCTTAATACCCACATAATATAATTAAACCTGTAAACGCATTAAGGTACTGTTCTGGTGATAACATTTCGAATGCAAAAGTATGCTATTCCTATATTTCTGGATTCTTTTAAAGGGTGATTTTGAATATTTTGTTTTTCCCCTTATTTTCTGCCAGCAATACGTTAAGTATACACTACTTGCATTTGTTACTCCTTGTTACGTTTTGCCGTGCACCCTTCTTTAGAGCCCTTGCAGACAATCTAATTACGTTCTAACGTACCATACTAGCAGCCTAAGTACTAGCTAAAAGGCCCAGACACGTGTTTCGC